CTGCTAGTTGGTCGACCTTGTCAAGGTCTTCACAAGGGGGCGAGAGCATATCCGACATTTTGGGGAAGGGGGGTCGACCTCCACCTGTGAATGCTCCTGCCGCGGGCCCCATCTTGGCGCTACTGTAGCCGAGATTCGGCACGGCAAAAGCACGGCGGGATGTTGGAATGGGAAACGTGATGAGTTTTACTGATGACCGATGTTGCGGCGGTCAATAGAGATGTGGGCTCCCAACCACGCTCGGATCATCTGTGTTTCATCGTGTGGGAGTCTCGTCGGAGACTGAAATATACGTGCGTGCGGTCTCTCATTCACTACCGTGGCCATTGCGCAGAACGACCGAGCGGGTGGGGATGGATCCGTCAGCCTTGTCGAATAGCCCAAAATGGTCCCAAACAACGGAAACCCAACATCTGCGCGCGTGAGCCGAGTCGCAAATAAATGGCACACGAATGTTGACAGACCCAGCAAAAACACAGCGATACACGAGCTTCGAGAACGGGCCCATCTCTTCTAGGAGACGGGGAGGATCCTTGATGATGATTAGGTCAGGACACCGGCAGGTGTAAACGTACACCATCGTGCCAGCGACCATCATCGATGGTGTCTCACCGTAATGTAACACGCTAAATGAGACGTCCTATCTCCGGGCGACCGATATTCGGATTGATTGGGGGAACGCGCCTTCTGACGTACGGGGGTCCAAGAATGAGTGAACACGGGAAAGGGATCCACTTCTCGTTTCCTATGGTTCGCCAACAGTTTACAAAGCTTGCCCTCGCCGCGATCGGACGAAAAGCCATGTACGTTGTATGGGTTTCGATGGAGGGTAGCAATACCCGAATCTCTCGCGATTCCTTCCCGACATGTTTGTTTCTCCCCCTGTCGCTTGTCGATAATATGTACGTGTATCTGCTCAGTCTCCCTCCCGTGCTCCCGTGCAATAATACCGAGTCAACACGTTGTGTGCGTAACGACGGGCCCGACGTGACAATGAACAAGAGATCAAACACCTATTGAGAGATTGAGAGAGAACAAACCACCCATCCACCACGAACGGTGCGGACGAAGGCTTACGGTATGAGCTCGTCGTCGGGATCGCTTGGCGTATGCTGAACCCGTTCACGGTGCTCTCCCCCAACCACCCCCATATGTATCAAAGCCAAGCATGCATTTGCATCCGGATACTTCTGCACTCGCACGGATGAGCAATTCAGAAACTAAAGAGCAACGGCACATGTCATATTAAAAGTCCTCGTGATCCACGCCTATCTCAAGCTCTAAAGGTATGTAGGTAGACCGCCATGCCAGTACCAGCTGCAGCTCATGGGAGGCATCTTTTTTGTATGCCAGAGAGTACGATCTCATCTCTCCATTTACCCACCAATCATTAAAATCACCAAACAAAATTGCACGTAGAACAGCAATCACATTCGACCGCGCTGTGGATACTACCCAACAATTCAATGAGCTAGACTACTGCTACTGCTGTGGCCCTCGACCAACTGCTGGGCCCTCGCTTCCATAAATACATAACTGTTGACCCAACCAACTTGGTTCCCCTACACCCGGAAAAAACAAGCACCTGCAATCGAAAAGAAGGTGCTCTCCAGCGGGCCAAGATTCAAGCGGATCACTCATTCTTCCTTCAGCATTGACTGGTGGAAAAGTTGACTAAAAAACCTTCACCCTTATCTACGAATATGTGCAAAAAAGCCGTTTATCTTTTCATAGATATCCACATGAGCGACCTTCACTCCCTCATCTCATAATCAACTCCGGTCCACCCATGACACCGGTAAAAATCCTTCAAACTACGTGGGAGTGCGTATCTTGACATAGCGCCAAAATAGCGATTGGGAATGACGATCGATGATGACATCACAAAAAGCACAACCCACACACCCGCACTCACTCTCGTTCTCGATTTGCAGATACGGTGACACGTGTTCAAAAATATTGTGAACCAACGTGACCGCGACGAAGGTCCTTGCCCTTCATCGATGACTTGGGGTAGAGCAAAACCTGGGCCAACCGAACCGTCATCCGCACTGAAAATTATGTACGAGGGCTTTTCCCGGCGCCCTTGCCATCTACGCCGCCAAAAAAGCTAGAAATTCCTTGTTCCCTAAACAAAGCAAATAATGTTATACCACGGCAATGGATGGTACGCAAGACTCCTCCGAGTACCTCCTAACGTCCGTACTTGGTCCCAACCCTGACGCGGACGCACCTTCCGTGGTCACGGACTTGCATACAAGCAAGACACAGGAGACAATAAAAATATGAAAATGAAGCAAATCGACGCTCGATGCTAAAATAAATGATAAGTAGCAGAGACAAAAAAAAAACGCATGGAATCCAATGAACCCCCCCTCATCAGGGGGTTTACTGGCATGCGTCCATACGTTTATGTACACATAGTTTATCCGTTGTCCCGTTCGGGTCCTACTTCTGCATCCACCCGCAGCTGTGTCAACTACGGTCGACTTCTGAGAAAAATCACACGAACCTCGATGGAGCACACCTCCGACATAATTATACACACACACACAAATGTTAATTCCTCTCTACTGGCAAAATCATGGAAAAACAGATTTATCGCGCGCGCGCTCACATGCACACGCAAAGGGGCATCTTGTCTCCAATGTCCACAAGGTTTTGGTGCACATGAGGCTGCAGATGGCTGTGGAGGGCCCCACTTCCTCCACTTCGACTTGTTCTCCGTGGGTGCAATAGGAACACCGAAAGTGCAGAGATGCCCCCATGCATATATTGTCGCTGCCAGACCACAAGAAACGGGCCACTCGTTGCTGACGAAGCGAACGCCCGTTCAAAGATGAAGCTGATAGCGTCGTTTTCTCAACGACATTTTTAGGCTCAACCGAGAAGGGCAATCGCGGTGCGCTGATGACAGCGATTGTCAATGCGGACACGGGCTCCTAACCACACCCAAACCCTTCTCAGGGCATTTGTTTCGTCTCTCGTGGACTCCGTTTCTTGTTCGGCTAGAATAGTCGGGGGGCGTGGTGGTGCCTCTTTTCATTCAGTAGCCCTGCTGTGGCGCACGTCAGGCGAGTGTACATAGCCTGGTCGGCTTTGTCGAAGAGCCGATTGACTCCGTACAGGATCCCCAGCATCTGCGCGTGAGCAAAAGCACATTTTTGTACACGATTAGAGCAGGAACGGTCTTCGGTTGACAACTCAAAGGCTCTCGAACCTTCGAGGCCGAGACTTTGGCTAACATTTCAACGGCTTTCGAGCCGTCGAGACCGAGATCCCGGTGGCCACGTTGAGGAGGCGACACGATCCTCTCTGCTGGCATGGGTCTTACGACACAAGCGCGAGCAGCATACCGACGGTAAGCACGTGTCGAGATCTACCTACTTGTGCACCGCCACAGTTAGTTACCTTTGCCTGAAGAAAGATATTATACTCGACGACAAAACCTGATCTCACCAGAAACAGTATCGCGAACTGCAGGCCGTGCGGCAGGTCGTTCCATATACACCTGAACCCCGACGGAAACTCAATCAGCCCTGCGTGGCACGGGTCAAAATCAGCGACGGCACGGCACAAGGCTTCACGAAAGCCTCGACTCCGCCGAGAAATAGGTCGAGGATTTCGCACACTTGCAACAAAATTTCAACTTTCATCGGTGTTTGGAAGTAGAACGAGAAGAAACAACTCGTGGGAGATCCACCCGTCGCGTTTGTTGCTATGAACCCTCGGGACTATCTGATGTTGAGGGCGTGGTTTCGAATCTCGGCCGAAATCACGCGAACTGGGAATAATTTCTCAAAAACCATTAAAAAGTCATTCCAGGAAAGGCAAAACAGCTTCAAAATAAAAAAAGTTAAAGACTTCACTCCCAAATACGGTAGATAGCGACCAATTCGTGTGTTTTGACAGAAACGCACAAACTAGCTTCATTATCAAGATTGAAGCGAGAAATAATACCGAGGCCTCCTGGCGACCGGAAACAACCATCAAGTTCAACGGAAGGGCGCAGACGAAGGAGGGTGGGAACCTTCTTTGCATTCTTTCGGTATTCCATCCGCTCGTTACCTTCAAAAACATACCAATAGGTGCACCGTTGACGTCCAGCGTAGATGACACGACATATGCAGCAGTTAGCGTTGTTTCCCCCCCCATGAAGTCCCCGGGTAAGATTGCCATCGGGGTTGGGTTTTCGTCGCTTGGCAACGACGTTGTAAAACACGCCGCCCCCCCGGTGTTTGTCATCGGGATTGGGTTTTCGTCGCTTGGCAACGACGTTGTAAAACAACCCCCCTCCTCGGTGTTTGCCATTGGGATTGGGTTTTCGTCGCTTTGGTAACGACGTTGTACAACAAGCCAATTCACTTCGTGAACTCGGCAACCAGGTTACCGTTTTTTTCTTTTTTATCTCTGGTTTTTTGTTTTGCGGTAACCATAATGGTGGTCGAGTAGATAATGTTGTGCGGTGTCGAGAACCCTCACTCCGCGCAAGGGGATAATCGCACCACGTTGTGTTAAAATGGTCAAGCATCCTCGAGGCAGTTACATAGTGCTTACAACTGTCTCTGGAAGTGAAAGCACCAGAAAATAAAATAAGTCATACGCAGCTGTCATCCGTAAGCAACGAAGTAAGCACAAGATGCCGAACACCCTTAGCAGGATGCAGCTCACCCTTCATGCGACTCGCCAAATACCTCACGGCGCTTCGCGCTTGGTGATGTGAGAGCCTGGTCCGGTGAGAACCCGGCGTGCTCCGTCCCGGCTTTGTAGGGATGCGAGGTCAATGGTCTAACGACTACGGCATGCACGACTAAGAGTACACCCCCCCCCATAAAGATTGTCTATGGTTCCTTGGTCAGCCTGTTGGCGGGGTCGACACCAACCAATCGATGCCAACACGCGCATGATGCCGCTACGTGAGGGCCGAGCTTCACCATGACCGCCAACCCGTAACGCTGATCCTCAACTATCGTCGGCGTGAACGCTTGCCACACTCCCTCACATTTGCCTTCCACCAGGTCCACGTGGACGGCTGAGACCAAGGCCAGCATAGCACGGCGGCCGCCAAGAGACCGACCGGCAGACGAACGAACGAAGGGGCGCAACGCCGCTTTTTTCCGAGACAACTGTCGGGTCTCGGTTTTGCAGGCTTGGTGGCGTTTTGATCCTTGCGAGGTTTGAATTGCCCCTGGCGGAGCGGAAACGGACCCCATGCAGGCCATCCGCACGCTCGCAACACCAACTAGGAGAAGCGTCCACATTAGGCTTGACGCCCACTGGAATTTCGTTAGCACACCTGGTGAGAGCGGGTTATCGAGGGTCAGAGGCGAACGAGCCAGTGATCGCTGAGCATTCTCCGGCGATTGTGCTATCGCAGGTTGTATTCCTCATGACATACCCGAAGGCAGTATCCCCCATGAGACTACCGCAGGGGGTTCTCCTCATGAGAAAACCGCACGCAGTACATGGCAGCATGCCTCGAAGGGTCGACAACACGATGGTGATGCAAGTGTCGTCGCCGTGGTGTCATGATTCTCGTGTGCGTCGTGACCCTTGAACAACCCAAAGATTCGAACGCTGTTCTTGGTGGCATGTCACGTGCCCTTACGTAGATCCAAGGAGTCTTGTAGGAGGAGGCGGTGGACTTCGTGCATGGGGTCTGCGGAGGAAACTGGTGTGTAGCGATAAACGACGTCCATGGGTTCGTCTTCATGGCTTTGGAAACTGTCGGAGAGGCTCGATGGGTTCCGTAAATTCCACAGAAGCTGTCAGATTTTGGTGATGTAGACGTCGCGCGGCACTCCCACCGTCAAGTCCTTGCACCAGGTTGAGATTGAACCTCCTGGAAGTACTTGTTCCGTGGAGGTGACGGAAGCTTCCAAAACTTGGACGGGTTTCCGCCGAGCACTTCATTGCCTCCGTGGAAGCTTCCACCAAAATGGGGAATACACAGTCGAGAAGACACGGCAAATGTTTCGACGATAAACGCTAGTTTTTCGCGTTACCAACACTCAGAACAAGCCATGCTGTGGCACTACTGGCACAACTGTAGGAAACGATTGTTGGCGCGATATGTCAAGGGCTGTTCAAGGGCTGTGCGTCTGTAAATGATGCATACAGAGTGCCGGCCCTTGCACAGCAACCCTTACCTAGCGAGCTGGAAAATCTTCGTACGATGAGAACGGAAACATGTTTTCATGGCCAACCATACATGCAGCAGACTTCCGTATCCAGCCGACTTTCGTTCCTTTTCATTGCCACACAGCCTCAAGCTTCGTTTTGTTGATTTTGTTCGCGCATCACCGAACCATTCCACAGCAGTTATACTCGTTGTCACCCAAAGCGTCTTGAATCTACTGTTTTTCACTGCAGCAGTTGAAGTTAAGACTTGAGTAAACCCCGGCTGGATACAACCGGTATACGCTGGGATCCTTCGGTTCGTGTATCATACGCACCCACGCAAATAATGCATTCGAGGTGTCGGGGAGCGCACGCCGTTTTCATTTGTCTCGCACATGAGCGGAATTCATGCGTACACCGAAGGGTGAAGCACAAGCACACACCCACAGCAGCTATGTATTTTTGGAGGGTAGCTCAGGCCCCCAGAACGGGACAATGGATTACTGCCGCGGCTGGCAAGCGTGGGTTATCCAAAGAAGGCACATCATGTATCTGTTTACGTGCCCCAGCCAATGGCCGCTGGAGACACACACGTCGCCGTTTGTCTGATGCATGATGTGGTGCTGTGCCCAAGAGACATGTTTGAACACCAGGAACGCGTTACGTACCGAAGATTCCTCCGCACTGCTCTGCATGCATGCCCCGAAATACATAGCACCGACTACAAGTACGTGTGCCAAGCGTACATTTCACATGCTTCGGGCTTCCGCAAAAAACGTCTTACCTTGTACCCACGGAACAGGGGTGACGACTGCTGTCATCGTCTGCTGCTGTCAAGAAGAGGAAAAACGGCGAACACCGGAAAAAAAGGCGGTGGTTGTGATTTATTTCTTCTTCATCATCACGCGAAAGCAGTTCTGGTTGACCTCTTCCCGAATTGACGCTGTACGCATACACGATTGGAAAAAAAATGCCGTGTGCAGCAGCTACCTATGTGCCCCTTTCCTCCCACCCACTCTGTATAATACCCGACCTCTGCCCTAACTCAAGAGAGAGACAGACTCCTGTCGTCGACAGACAGCAGCAGAGAGATGGATCTTGGGGCCCACATCGTCGTTGTCGATTCCACGATGACGCATTGGATGCTCGTTGCGGGATAACAGCAACGACACAGGACCAGGAGACACAAACATTTAGAACTGCCAAGGGCCAAATGTGAAGCGTTTTGTGCAGAAGGGGGCAACTGCGGCTGCTGACGGGAGTCTGGCACATGGAGCGGGCGAATCGTCGGGTTAGCCGTCGTGGTTCGATGGGATTTTCCGCCGCCGGTGGCGCTGGGGTCGGTTCGGCCGAGCACATACACATACACTGGAGGTTGCAACCAGAAAAAAATGACCCGCCCCATGCATACGAACGCAATAACCCATGGTGTGAGGACAACGACATTTTTTGTTCGTTCTTCCTTATCATGTCGCCAACCAAAGATGCTCACCGGTATACTCTTGACTGTTCGAATTCACACACAGGGGGGTGATGGGGCCTCGAGGCAGCAAGCAGCAGGCGTAGGTTAGAGGAGATTTCCAGCGTTTCAAGCCTTGTGCGGTCGTGCGCGGTACGCAGGGGCCTGACCTGACGTGACCTCTTCGGACCACGACTGACTCCGGGCTGCACCATTCCTACCAATCTGACGCTTCTTGGGGGCGTAACGGTCAATAGAGTATTAAAAGATCTTCCGGAAATGTATGTACCACCTACAGAGTACAACCAGATCCTGCAAGATTCCTGTACCACCAGCCCGAAGATATGTGAACGTCTGTAGATTTTCCGCCGAGGCATTGTCTAAACGAATGATGGCTAGACAAAGTGCTGGATCTCGGTCGGCATCAAGAGAAAAGAAAAGGACGAGTATTGTACCAGTAGGCAGTAGACAACGATCAGGGGAGGGGTAGAGAGAACAGGGCGAAAAAAAAGCAGCAGAGGAACGGAAGAACAATAATGAAGAAGAAAAAAATAGGCCAGAAGCACGGAACGGAATTCCGTTGGGACGGAAGATATCACACCCCCTTGGAAAGATTTTCAATCTCCGGTTGCTCCACAGCAGAACGAGTGGCGGCGCCGAAGATTCTCGGCGTTGGAACCGCCTCATCGACGCCTTTCCGAAAAGCTCATCATGTGATTGTGGCGTAATCTTCTCCGCCATGGAGTATCACAGTGCATCCATGAACAAATCGATATTTGATCATATAACGTAACTTACACACGTCACCTACCCGCCGCACGCCGTAACCTACTTGTGGTCCAGCAAGTGATTACAGCCAGCTGCGCGCAATCTGTGTCAACCGTTACAATATGATTTTTTAACCCGCCGACTGCCCTCAAGGACATGGCGCAAGGTACCCAATTCACATCTATCTCCTGTACCAAGAGAACGAGTGAGCGATGATGCTAGTCAAAGCAACCGACAACTACTACTGCTATTGTGGAGCAAACGAGCGAGATAGGATTCGTGAATCCGCTTCCAACCGTTTGGAAAATCTCGGCGCATAGATATGGCACGGGCTCTCGGGTGGCCGGGGAACGATCTGGAGAAGAAGCAGAAACATGTGTACTTCAGAAAAAAACACGGGTGCGTTACATGTGTCTTGTACAGCAGTATGAGCAAGGGGGATAACGAGCGAGAGGCGGGCATGCAACTTGCGGGCCCTGCGATGCACCTCGATTGTCTGCGCTTAACACCAAGCACCTACGTAGCGATCCATCGCTCTACCGTCGACTATTATTGTTGAAGAGTAGTCTACGCTGTGAAAAGTTCGGCCTACATGTACAACCTTATAGCGGGCTAGCAATGCATGTCGTAAATCGGGCCGCCCGGACCTCGTGTCGGCTTGTGCGCCACGCGTACGTACGTCCTGTTTTCCGTCCTCTCCAGCAGACATTTACTTCGATTGTGATACATACCGTCGTGCGTGAGGCGTGTTTCTACTGCTCCCTCTTGCAATTGCTCTTCTTTTGTAGCGCTTGCTGTGAATCAGGTGCGTCAGTCTTTCGACTATCTTCGGCAGCAGACGTTGATGCTAAAGCGCCGGCGGCGTGCGCGTAAACACCAGAACGGCCGCTTGATGACGTTGAATGTTTGGGGGGGGCAAAGCAGCAGTGTGTATGGATACGTGAAAACACGTGCCGCAAACCCTGCTGAATCTGTGTGCCAAGTTCACTTTGCGTCTCTGGAGAAGGACAGAGCAGGACAGAGATATGTAGACCGCTGTATTTAGATGCGCGCACGTGCGGCGTACGGTATGTATGAACTTGTTCAATGTGCAATATAGCCCCGACAACACCCGTCCAGGGTTGTTTGTCCCTTTGTACAAGCCACCCCTTCTTTTCGTAACCCCCACCACTTGCTACCTGCTCTATCTCTCTGTTGGCGTGTTGTCGTGCGTCACCCTCTCTCTCTCTCTCATTCTTGCAGAAACAACAGGTCAAATGTCGGATGTCTACGTCCCAAGCAGCATGGCGCCGACCGCCCCCCCCCCTACTCGGTTCTCAAGGTAAATGTAGGTGGAATGCACGTTCACCTTGCTCGGTATAAGGCACTTTACGGACTGGTGTAAACGTGGCCATGACACCCGTCGTATTTTTGAGGGGGCGCGACTTACGTGGTGTGGTAGCACACGTAGTCTACACGCAAGCAAGGTTTGCTATTTTCATCTTCCCACGTTAGGGCGGCAGACGGGGGCGAGGGGCACAGAAATAAGGTTCCCCAAGCTGCTGGCTACAGGCTGCTGCACAACGCGTTCGCCGGGTGGTCGCTCTTTCTCCCATTTGGGGAAGGGACTGCTGTGCTACACAGAGGGGGATAATTCGGGTGGCTCAGTTGTGTGTGATGGGAGCGTAGAGCAGCTCGGCCATGACGGGCCGCACGGGTAGGTAAAGACGTGTAGACGTGGTGAAAAACGTGTTGTATTCATCGGGGGCGTGCTTGAGCTCGTCATTCCATCACGGCATCAAGTCACGCATAACGCTTTAATACCTAGAACGAATCTCCATGAATCTCCACCAATCTACTACACTCCCAAGGAAAACACAAAGAAACTTCTTGTTCCTCCGTAGTTCGTCACTGCAATCCCCGCATATTTAATACGCAATATACCACCCCCATGCTATGCTACGAGTATATCGAATAGCCCCCCTGCTCGTATGCATCGTCATGCTCCAACAAAATATCAAAGTCATCCTTATCATACCAGTTCATCCCAAAACAAATCAAAACCAAGACAAAATCGAAAACTCCAACACCAAAACAATACCTCCTCCAAAAACAATCAATCGCATACCAACTCTTTCTTCCAAATCATCAAGAAAAATCCCTAACATTAACCTTCCAAAACACTACCATCTCCACTTGACCCTCTCTATCTCTTGTTCAAACTCGTACATATCCTCTCTCTTCCACTCAACGGCAAAGCACGATTTGATCCCAAAACACCTCTGTCACTGCAAATTCATCACAAAGTCTCTGTGCAACGCAAAAGATTCCTTGCTGATAGCCTTCGTCAAGAAATCTGCATGCTGAAACTCCGACGCCACATGAGTAATCGAAATCTCCTTCCTCTCTACCAGTTCCCTGATAAAGTGATGCCGTACATCAATGTGCTTCGAGTTTGAGTTCGTGATCGGGTTGTGCGCAATCTGAATCGCTCCCTGATTATCCTCGAAGATTTGAATGCACGGCATACCTGCATCTGGCAACATAAAACGCCAAACTTGCCTCAAGAAAAGCACCTCCTTCAAGACGTCGGCAATTGCCACATACTCTGCTTCCGTTGTGGAAAGCGTAACGCACTTCTGCGTCCTCGAAAACCAAGTCACACACCCACCCCCACACATCACTAGTCCTCCTGAAACCGACCTACGGTCTGCTGCCTTGCTCGCATAGTCAGCATCCACGAACACCTGCATGCTCATGCCAGTCACCACACCCCTCTCAAATGTAATCCCCATCCAACTCGTCCTACGCACGTACCCTAAAATACCAAGTGCTGCCTTCCAGTGCACCATCTTGGGAGACGCGCAATACCGCGCTACTGCTCGTACTGCATTCGCGATGTCCGGCCTGGTTTGAGTGGCCAACCACATCAGGGATCCTACCAACTCGCGGAAAGGGACATCAGCACACGCTTCGTCCTCGTCAAAGTCGGTGAGCTTCATGCTCACAGGCAAGGGCACACTCTTCCCCCACTCTACGCCGTACTCTGCAGCCAACTCTTCTGCAAACCTTTGCTGCGAGATCCTCAAAAGGCCTCTCTCTAGATCTCTCTGGTAAAAGCACGCGGAGTACCACCTCAACTCCCCAAGGTTCTTCACGGGGACCATCTCGTTGAGGTCTCTGCCAAACTTGTCACATCTCTCCTTCTGCCCTACGGCAAAAATGTCATCCACGTGGACCACGATGATCATGATCACACATCCATCCTCCATAAATCGAAAAACACATGCATCCGCCAAACACTGCACAAATCCTAAAAGTAACAAACACCTCGTCAGGTGCGCATGCCATTGTCGTGACGCCTGCTTCAAACCGTACAGACTCTTGCATAGCTTCACGATCAGTCCAGATAACCTACCACAACCTTGCGGGAGACGCATGAAAACATCCTCTTCAAGCTCAGACTGCACAAACGCCTGCTGAATATCGAAATGACACAAGTCAAGGTTCTGCTCACATGCCAAAGCTGCCAACAAACGCACACTAGACACGGATACGGTGGGTGCAAACAATTCTCCAAAATCAATCGAAGCCCTCTGCATGTCCCCCCGCGCTACAAGTCTTGCCTTGAATTTCGTCGGCCATCCGTACTCGTCTGCCTTACAGTTGAATACCCACTTGGCGTTGATGAAGTTTTCTACTGGTTGCTACACCGGACTAAAAGTACCTGCATCCAACAGACCGAAAAACTCCCGACCGACTGCATCATCCCACAACTCTGAATGTTGAGACCGCATGGCCTCCTTGAACGTTTTCGGCACGCGGAGGTCGCTGGCGAGGCAGTGAGGGAGGTCCGGCATCTTGTCAGGAGGGCGCTTGCCACGAAGAGTGGCTTCCACGTCCTCGCGGGTGGCGAACATTGCTGCGAACATGTGCAGGCCCCCCGGCCCTCCAGCTCCTGCGGCCCCCCCGCTCCCATGGCCTGCTAAACTCGTATCTTGCGGCGGTGGGGGAGCGGGAGGGGCGATGCTGGCGGACGGTGGCAGGTCTCGACGTCCTTGATCGACGGCCTCCCGGGTGGCGAGCGACGAGACGAGCGCATCCTTGCCCATCATCGACAGCAGCCCAAGGCGGTGTTGGAGAGCGGTGCCGCCACCTGACGGCGACGGCGGTTGCTGTTGCTCATCCATGAAGCGCACTCGGTCGCCGCGCGTACGGCCATGCACTCTGGTTTCCTTCTCGCCCAATTCTCTGACCGCTCGCTGTGAAAGCGGCGGGTGAGCGGGAGCGGCGGCGCTTGCGGGCGGGGGTGTCGGCGGTGGACGGGGCGGCGTGGCTGCGGTGGACGGCGGTGCACTCGAAGACGCCGTGGAG